TAAGAATTACATAGATGAGCTGGATGGTGGTGGCGGCGCACGCCTTTAATCCCAGCACTCAGGAGGCAGAGGCAGGCGGATCTCTGTGAGTTCAAGGCCAGCCTGGTCTACAGAGTGAGTTACAGGACAGCCAGGGCTGTACAGAGAGACCTTATCAAGACTTGAAGATAAAAATAAAGGATCCAAACCAAATAAGCAAGGAATATGAACAATTTTAAAAACACAGGGAAGGAATATGAGAAATGTGGGACACTATGAAAAAAAACAAAACAAAACTTTAAAATATAGGTATAGAGGAGGGAGAAGAAACCTAAATCAATGACATAGACAAAATCTTCAACAAGATCGTAGAAGAAAATTCCCCTCAATAAGGAAAGACACATCCATACAGATACAAGAAGCATATGGAACACCAAATAGACAAGACCAGAAAAGAAAATCCATTCCATAGCTAAAACACTAAGTATATGTAGCAAAGAGTTTTAAAAGTCACAAGAGAAAAACCAAAGTCACAAATAAAGGAAAACACATCAGAATAATGGCTGATTTCTCAATGGCAACTTTGAACAATAGAGCAAGCAATGCATTCCAAGTCCTGAAAGACTATTACAGCCAACCTGAAATAGTATACCCAGCAAAACTATCTGCCATTATTGAAGGAGAAAATTTTTATGACATAAACAACCTAAAAAATGTATATCCAACATACCAAATCAAAGGAAAATACAGGAACATTATTTCAGGCTGAAGAGAGGAAGGAACATATCAGAGAGACTATGAAAAGAAATATGATGCCATAATTCTTAAAACACAAAGTACACTGAGAATACAAACAGCTATTCAAAAAATTAACAACATAGTGGCCACAATTAACAAACATATTTCATTAATAACTTTAAATTTCAATGGCTTCAATTATCCAATCAAAAGATACAGCCTGACTGAGTGGAATATGCCTATCTGTTGTCTATAAGAAGCACATCTTATCTTTCAAGATAGACACTGGTTTAGAGTAAAAGGATGGACAAAAATACCATGGGACCAGGAAGCAAGTTATATGGGACCAGGAAGCAAGCAGTTGTCACTGTTCTAATATCTGATGAAATAGACTTCAAACTAAAACTAATCAGAAGATAAAAAGAAGGACATTCCATTTTTCTCAAGAGAGCAGTCAATTAAGAAGATATTACCATCCTAAACATACTTGCACCAAAGTCTGGGCACCCAATTTAAAAAAAAATATCTACTACTGGAATTAAAGATACAGATTAACAATCCATTAATGGTATGTTATTTCATTACTCCACTTCCTTCAGTAGACAGACCATCTGAATAAAAACAGAGAAATATCAGAATTAATTGATATCACACATCAAATTGACAGTTATCTACAGAAATTCCAGCTAAACAACAAAGAATACACATTATACTCATCAGCACATGGAAGCTCTTCTAAAATAGACCACATACTGGGACAAAGACCAAATCTTTACAAATTTAAAAATATTTAAATAACTCCTTGTATCCTATCTGACCACAATGCAATAAAAACATAAAATCGACAGCAAATGAGTCTCTAGTAAATAAAAAAACTCATGGAGATTAAACAACTCATTACCAAATGATGATGAGTCAGAGATGAAATCAAGAAAGAAATAAAAAAAAAAATTCCTAGAACTAAATGAAAAAGAAACCATAATACAACAAAACCTCTGGGATCAATAGAAAGCAGTCCTATGGGGGAAATTTATAGCTCTAAATCAGAAAGAGCACAAATAAATGACTTAATGATGCAACTCAAAAAGTTGAAAAAATAAGAACAAACCCAGTCAACAGCAAGAAATAATACAAATCAGAGCAGAAATCAATGAATTAGAAACAAAGAAAACAATACAAAGAACCAACAAGCCTAGAGCTAGCTCTTTGGGAAGATAAACAAGATGAACAGACTCTTTGTCCAACTATCCAAAAGAAAGAAAAGGACTCAAATGAACAGACTCAGAAATTTGCAGGGAAACTACAACAGACACTAAAGAAATTCAGAATATAATAAGGTAATATTTTAAAAACCTGTCCTCCATTAAGCTGGAAAACCAAAAAGAAATGGATGAATTTCTAGATTCAGCCAAACCACCAAAATTAAAGCACAGAGAAATAAAAAAGCTAAAGAGACCCATAACAAATGAGGAGATTGAAACAGTAATAAAAAGCTTTGCAGCTGAAAAAAAAAGGAGGTAGGGTGAGAGGATTTTTATCAGATATTCAAAAATCTACAGCCAGTCATTTTTAATTCATTAAAAAAAATAGAAACAGAAGGACCACTCCCAAACTCCTTTTACATAGCCAGTATCACTGTAGTACCCAAGTCAGGTAAAGACACAACAACAAAAAAGAATACTACAGAACAATATTCCTGATGAACATAGACTCAAAAATGCTCCATAAAATATTTGCAAACAGAATATAGACATATATCAAAAAGATTATACACCATGAACAGGTTGGCTATATATTTAAATGCAGGGATGATTCAGCATACACAAATCAATAAATGATAATATGTCACATAAATGGACTTAAAGATAAAAATCACATGATCATCTCAGTAGACAGAGAAAAAATCTTTGACAAAATCCAACACGCCTTATGATAAAAGTTCTAGATAGAGTAGGGCTAGAGGGAACATACCTCAACATAATAAAAAGCTATATACAAGAAACCCATAGCCACCATCATCCTAAAAAAAGCTTGTAGCTATCCCATTGAAGTCAGGAATAAGACAAGGATGTCCAGTACCCCCACTCCTTTTCAATGTTGTACTTAAGTACTAGTTGGAACAATAAGACAAAAAAATTCAAAGAAAAAAAATTCAAATAGGGAAAGAAGAAGTCAAACTATCCCTATTTTCAGATGACATGATACTAGACGTTAGAGTTCCTAAAAATTCTATCAGAAAACTTCTAGAAACAATAAACAAATTCAGCAGTGTGGCAGGATACAAATGAACTTGTACAGATCAATAGCTTTTCTATACACCAACAGCAAACACACAGAGAAGGAGATTATGGATGGATGGATGGAGCCAAAAGAGATTGAGTGAGGTAATTCAGACCCAGTCTGGTTTTCTGAGTCATCCCCACTCACTTGTGGTTGTGATTTGCATGGAATATCTTCTTTCCATTTCAATTTATTCGTGGTTTTGTATCTAAAATGAGTTTCTTGTAGACAGCATATAGGTGGATCACTTGTTCTAATCCATTCTTCCAATCTCTACCTTTTTTTGTTGTTGCAGAATTCAATCTACTTGCATTTATGGTAATTATAGATAAGGAGGGAGGTTATTTCTGTACTTTCCTCACATAGTTTTTAGCTTTCCCCCTCACCTTTCTCGCATGTGTTCTTCCTTTGTCAATTCTTGTAATAAAATGGTTCAGAGTATTTCCTTTTGTGTATATATTATAGATACTGTCTTTGTAGAGATTACATTTAACCTCTTAAAGTTGAAACTTTTGAATTTTATTTATACTAAATTAACTTCAATAACATACAAAACTATGCTTTTTCTATCACTTCTACTCCTGCCTTTTACAGCTTGTTTAATTTTTTTTATTTTGCAGAATATATCCATGCCATAATGAACATGTGGAGGTCAGAGAACAGCTTTGTGGAGTCTGTTCTCTCCTTCCACCTTTACGTGGGTTCCTGAGATTGAGCTCAGGTTGTCAACCTTGAGCATCTCACTGACCTTCTTTCAGTTATTAAAATTAAAAGTGACAATGTTATGTATACAGTGTGTCCATCAAAATATAAGCCAATAATAATTTTAAAATTCACTTGCTTCTTAAATTATGTATGAAAATGTGGAGTTGCAAATCCAAGTTACAATATTAATTTTTTGACACTAATAATTTCTTAATAATGTGTTTGTCCCTTAAAAATAGTTACTAAGGGCCTGGAGAAATGGCTCAGGGGTTAAGAATTCTGATTGCTCTTCCAGAGGACTTGGATTCAGTACCTATACAATGGGGCACAACCACCTGTAACTCCAGTCCCCGGGAATCTGACACCCTCTTCTGGCCTCCATGACACTGCATTCATGTGGTGCACAGACATACATGCAGGCAAAACACCCATACACATAGAAATAGTCTCCAAAATTATAGGGTTCTATTACTGTAAACTTAATTTAATAGTTGCTCATATATTTACCTTTATTGTGACCTTTATCCTCACATGGCTTTGAGTCTATGTTTAAAGTCTTTTTACTTTACCTGTAAGTGGGTTCCCTCCAGCATTTCTACAGGACAGGTCTAGTGGTAATGAACTCCCTTGGTCTTTCCTTATCTGGGAAGTCTCAATTTCCCCATCACGACTCCAGCGTGTTTACTAGATACAGGACTCTCACTTGATAGAGGCCTTTTCTTTTAATCTCTTTAGTCTGTCACCCACTGAGAGTGCCCTGTCTGTCTGTCTCTGGGATTCAGCCTGGTTTGGGCTTTTGAGATTGACTACATCATGGATGAGTGAGAATCTCTTTCAGTTCATCTTGGGAGCTTGTTGAGCACAGATATTTATATATCTTTTATTAATCTTGGAATATTTTTGTGCCAGTATTTCTTTAAATATTCTCCTTGATTCCTTTCTTCTTGTCCTAAAAGTCCTGCAGGTACATGGTGGTCTGCTTGACAATGTCCCATGGGTCCTGTGATCTCCATTTCTTTTTCTTTTTGTGGAGATAAGATCTTGTCACCCAGGCTTCCCTTAAACTCAGAAATCTAAGGTCAAAGCATTTTGGATTCTAAAGCATCAGTGGAATGTATCTGGGACTAATGAAGTATATGTATCACACTATTGCAATAGATCTTACTAATTTAATGAATTTTTCTCTTTGATTTGAAACATTACAAATAATGTGTAAACTTTGTGGCCACTTTTCTCATTGGTTACTCAGTAAATGAAAAATGATTCGTCATAATATGGTACTCTACTTTGTATTACAGCTTACCACTGCCACCTTGGATGGGAAACTTCAGCTGTTTGTGGTTGAGTGATGGCTGACCTGCTGGTAAGAATACAGGAAGAAATGAGAAAGAATTCATGGTTTAGCCATTGAGGCAGATGGGACAGTTTTTACAGGAGGCACGTGTTGGATTCCCCTTCTGTAGGACTCACCCTCATCTGAGCTTCCCTTCTCTTAAGAAAACCCTCTTAGAAACAATGGAAATAATAGCCCATCTGTGCTGGTATTCTTCAATAAAGATGAGCCCATGTCTGTTTCATGGTTGTAGCTGGAGAGGAGGTAGAGAGGGATAAAGACAAAAAGGTAGGGGCATGAAGCAGCACCTGACACTACAGAAGCCAGCTCATCTTATTCTGCACTCTGTGTGTTTTTGCTTTACGCCTGCCACTATGGCAGTTGCACTTGAGGGTGCAAGGTGGCAAGGATGCCATGGCCCTATGCTGTTTACCTTGATGTCCCTCCTTGATCTCTTCAGGATGAGCAAGGCCCAGGGGACAGAAGATGGATGGACAGCCATACTCATTCTGGTCTTCTCAGTCTCTGATGAGAGGTTCTTATGATTCCTTTGGTATTTGAAAGATAAAATGATTCATATTCTGGGGAATATGTCATGGGTTTGCTCAACATTGGCACATCCATGTGTTTGAAGACATCAAAGCAAGAATGTGGTCGTGGTCCCAAGCCTGGCCACAGAGGGATTTGGCCCAGACCTTCTGGAATAAGCAATTTTTGTTCTTTTTTCCCATTCCCTTGAAAGGCTTTCTTTGCAGATGTGGGCCTCATTCTTTTCACCCAGTTTAAAGAGACTACTCTGCATTCCAGGCCTGTTTGGGGAGGGAGCTGGCCTTTCCTGTATAGCATGGCCATTTTCTGTGCTGTGCATGTAATAGGTGGCTAGTGGAGAAAAGACAAAGTGTGCATACAGGCTCAGGTGTTATGGGTCTCAGGGACACATAGGCCACAAGGGACAGACCCTCCAGAAGTACATTCTCAGTATTAGGATGAAACTGAACTATTGGCATGTTGGTTCCTGACCACATTTTGCACCACAGAAATCTCTCATTTGAACATGTTCTTAAAAAAAAAAAATGACCCTAAAACCCTGCCTTCACTGCCCCTATTCTTTTCTCTTTTATGTCTTTTATTCCCTTTTTCATTACTGGCCAAAGTTTACTCATATTCTAACTAGGATCAACTTACTTTGGTTTGTTTCCTCTGTGTAAGTTCCCCTGTTATTCCTGACTTTGCTGTGGCATTGGCTTCACTGTGCCCTGAGCCCTGAGCTCATGGCAGCTGCCAGCACCAGAGAGGTGGAGAAAGCTCCACATACCATAGGGGGGTTTCTTTTTGGTAGAAGTTTTTTGAGTAGGTGACAGTTTGTGGTAGCTGTTGAGACTCTTGGTCCCTTGGGGTGTGAGACCTCAGGTTATCTCCCACTTACTGATGCCCAAGTATTACTAATCTACTTACTGCATGCCCTTGAATTCGTAAACAACATGTTTAAAAAACTGATAGTTCAGTGCCCCCTTTTTCTTGTTCGTGATGACATCATAGATTCCAGAAGGAAAAGAGCTGAATGGAAACAGCACAGGTAGCTCAGAAGACAAAGGGACAAACTTGGCCAACCGTGGAAGGGGGTGTCTGCTGTTTTTGAAGTTGATCAGAAAACTGAATATGGGTGGAAAAGATGGTCACTCATGGGGGACAACCAAAGCAAGAAGGCAGTGAAACCAATGATGAAGACAAGATGGCTGTACCTGGGCCTCGACCAGGGAGTCTGCAGAGGGCATATAGCTGTCTTGCACTGATTATTTTATGACCCTTGACATTAATTTTTTAAAGTTACATTCATAGAAGGTTATATTCTCCCTTTGGATCTTGGAAAAGAGGATCAACTTACCTCTTTCTAAACATGAACTGAGGAGACCTGGCATTCACTGTACTGGAGCTATGCAGCCTCTTAGACAGTCCCACCGAGGTAGGCACCAGTTGGTCCATAGTATTTAGAGGGCTGGGGCAGAAAACATCTTTCTGATGAGGACAAGCAACTCCTCTGTCCTTTACCTGGTGTGTTAGGTGGGATCAGAGATGACAAGCCACAACTCAGAAGTCTCCACATGACTGTAGTGTCCCACAGGGGACAGCCACGATGCCTACAGAGCCTGGACCTTTGAGGTCACCAGGCCTGTTGCCCTTTGAATTACGACAGAAGCTGTTCACAAGAGGAGCTTCAAGTTGAGTTGCTGTGTGCTAACACCGCAGCAACTGGGACTCCTCTCCTCCAGTAGAGCAGTGTGCCTAAGACTCTGCCCCTCCTCAGCCTTTGTGAGGACTTGATTTCCTGGAGGAGCTATCACTTCAGACTGGTGTCAAGGACCACTGCTCAGATTTTTCTCTAAGTGTAAAAAAGAAGAGATGCTGATGAGTGTAAATTCTGGAAAAAAAGGTGTTAAGGGAAAATAAAATGTATTGATGCAAATTCAAGTTTAAATTACTGAGTTAGTACTACCCTAAACACTCAAACACCATTTCAACTTTGAATTAGGTAATGACTGCCTATTTCTCATTCTGTGTGTTCAAATACCATTGCAGTTTTATGTAGGTAATCTTGTGGTTTGAATCTGAACTATCTCCACAAGATAATGTTTTTGAATATTTGTTTCTAGGTGTAAGCACTATTTGGGAGAAATGTGGAACCTTTAGGAGATAGGGCTTAGCTCTTTGGTTACTAGGGTCAGTGTGCTGGCTAGTTTTATGTCAACTTGACACAAGCTAGAGTTATCCGAAAGGAGGGAACCTTGATTGACAAGATGCCTTCTGCCACCGACTGGCCCACCGGGGGGTACCACGACCGTAGGGAGACCAGAGCTTGGGTAGTCAGGAAGGCAAGGATTCGGCGAATGACAGACAGACAACACACTCAGAAGTGGTTTGAATCTGCTGCAATTTTACTTCTGTAAATCAGTAGTTTATATACAGAAAAGAAAACTATCAAGTCCTACAAGGAACAACAAGAGCTTGGCAATAATTCAGTTACATCATCTTTAAAAAAACAGCAAGCACACAATTATTAATCGGCGCTAGACATATCCCTTCACCCACAAGAACTTTATGACCCAAAGAGCAGTCTGTGTTTTTTAAACTTAGTACAGTCCCTAGACTTGTGTAGGCTTCTTGCAGCTGTGTCCTTCATCTTTATCTCAGCCGCTCACTAGTTTATTATGCACTTCTACTTTTCTGGTTCTCATGACCCACTTAGTCAGTTTGGATGCTGCAGATCCTCCCTAAGTCTTTCTTTAGTTCTTTTCCCACATATCTGTTTTAATATAAAACCTTTTTACCTGCTAGAATATGGACTCTTGTACTTTTACTCCTGTAAGGGGAAGGGGTTCTGCTGTAGTCCTTAAGTTTTCCATATTGAACTTCCTCAATGGAGGGGCCCATCATCTGTCTCCTATGAGATAAGGTTTTCTGTCATAAATCACTTTAGTTGGGATTCCTAAAGGATTCCTAGTGGGTGAGTGTTCATTCCCTAGAACTGCCTGAACTATTATACTTTCTATCATCTAGCGGCTTGGGGTCTTTAAGGAATAGCTCATTCTGCTATATCTAAATAAGGTCCATGTCCAGCTTCCCCTCTCCTCCATAGTTCACAACCCAAGCATTCATTAATTTTGGTTGTGTTTTATAGATTAATTAGAACATTATCAGAAAAGCAGTTATACAGAACCCATAGCCCAGAGAGCTCATGATCTGTGAAGCACGTCTCCTTCGAGAAGGAGGCATAACACGGGCACTCTGCCAGGGACCTCCAGGGAGCTTAGTCCCGTGGGACACGTATCTCTCGTCTGCTATTATTGACATAATTGTTTATGTCACACGGACAGCACTGGAGTTGGTGTGGCAGCCTTCATGCGATCCGGTTGTGAGGCATTTTCTTAGATTTTTCTTTTGCCTCAACAATTTCAAATGTGAGCTTTCTCGGGAAGTCCCTGGAGTGTGTCCAGATCCTTTGTATGCATTATCCTTTGTGTTAGGCAACAAGTATGACTGGAAACAAGAGAGAAAACAAGTGGCCTTTATAGAAAGGATGCGTGAACTTCAGACTGTAGTAAACTGCAGACGCCGGTTACCATCTGTCTGGTTTGTGCAGGATGTGTCTTCTGTATCCGTGGTGCTGTACGGCAGTTCCCAGTGCCACACACTCAGCACAAACTGCCAGGAAACCAACAGTCTTACAAGCTAAAGCCTTGGAAACAAATACAGGTTGTAGGCGAACTCGTCTACTAATTGACCAGAAGTTTGTAACCTAAGCTTTCACTCCTGTCATCTGGGCTTAGGGCTGATCTTCGGTGTGGGTTAGGAAATCACATGAAAATAGGAAAAGTAGATGTCTGGGGAGAAGGATCTAGAGCTTTCCTGATCCTTTATTGTGCCATGGCCACTGAAGGAAGGTGCCATACCCAGGACTACTCTAAACTCTGCCATGGATTGCTTCTTCCACGTCTAGTTACGCTCTGGCTTCTCTGCCTACTGTAAGCCGTGAGTCCAGCTGAGCTGCTAGGCTAGGGTTGGCCCAGTCTTACGCTGGTCTCTCCCCAGTGGCTGCAGTAGAATTGGTGGGACTGCTTGTAACAGGCACCCAGGAATGCCCTCGAGGACACTGCACTAGTAAGGTCAAAATCGGTGCTCATCTCCTTTTTCCTTGCTACTCATTAGCGTCCCAGTGCTGGATTCTTGTGATAGTTCAGGTGAACACTCTAAGCTAGGCCCATCACCTGTCCCCTCTAGCAAGCTCCATTATCCACTCATAAACAAGCTGTGCCTGAAGCCTCCAGGGTACTTGGCCCTGAGCTGTTCCTCCGTGCCTTCCTGAGGACCAGCCCTAGTTTTAGTCTGTGTCACCCTCTACAGGACTACCACTCTGTCGCCTAAACCATTTCATGTGGATTGGCTCACATTTTAAGAGCATGCTCGCATTTTAAGAGCACAGGTCCTACACTGCCACATGTCAGCTTTGACATGATGAAGTACCCAACTTCTGC